AAACCCTACATCCTAAACCCGAAATCCTAAACCCTAAACCCTAACTTTGCATGAACTCCCATGCCTAGGCCGACCTTCTGAAAGCCGCGCTTAGGACTCGTTGGGTTTCAGTGAGTCGGGGCTTAGTTCAGCTTCTGGATTTCTGGGTTTAGGGTTTAGGGTTTAGGATTTAGGGTTTAGGGTTTAGGATTTAGGGTTTAGGGTTTAGGGAAGTTTAAACAACTTGTATCTCATGAACCAACAACGCGACACGGGCGTAGTTGTTCAGCCATGCAGAAGTCTTCTCATATGGGTAGTTCTCTAAATTAGGGTCCCTTTTTAGGTCCCCAATATAGTACGGCACCCTTATAAAAAGGACCCCCAAAAGGGACCCGAAATTAGAAAACTACCCATATCGTGGTCCAGCCAGGAAGTGGGTGGAAGGCTGTAGCTCCCGTGCTTCCGAGGTATACCTATGAGTCCTGCTGCCAAAGCCAGGGTGCGGACCCGAAGAAGGAGGGTTTAGGGTTTAGGGTTTAGGGTTTAGGGTTTAGGGGAGAAGTGGGACAGGATGTGAAGTTAGTGTAGTAAATAGTGATGTAGACCTTGCGGCCGTCTTTGTGATGCTGGAAGGGCTTTTCGGATGCAGTGAATAGTTTTATCTTACCGTTATACCATCTAAATGGTGCAAACTACCGAAACAGCCAAAGAAGCTACAACGAGTTCCCAAGGTTTAACCGTCGGTGTAGCCCAAAAGTCTCAAACTTCATACAAAGCTCCAACTGCTCACACACACACACAAATCAGTCGAAGAAGCCGTGTATTCTGCAGTGTACATCTTGAGCACCACACCCATGAGATTCCGCAAAACCCAGACCCCAAACCCTGAACCCTAAACCCTAAACCCCAAACCCTAAGCCACAAACCCAAGCCGCATTTCCCTCAGAAGGAGGGCTGCAAGAGCGCCTACTTCGATCGCTTCCGGCGCTTGGTCTCCAAGTACTACCGGGAGGGGCTCACCAAGCCGAACCTTGTCTCCCTGGTTCTTTGTAGGGAATGGGTTTAGGGTTTAGGGTTTAGGGGTTTAGGGTCTAGAATACAAAGGAAAGTTCATACAGGAATACAGAAATGAGCCAAAACCTAGATGAACATAATTCAATATGCCTGCAATATGCAATATGCATATATACACAGACATACATGTACGCACATACTTTATTCGGCCGTGATGTCGACATAGAAACATCGCGAGAGGTTAATGCCGGGTTGAAAGGATCGCGTGGTGTTTGATCGCGGCTTCGACCAGGGTTCTTCTACGCTGTGTTTTGCCAGGAGCTTGCAGTTTCTCTGCTTCACCGTGGACCCGAAACTCAAAACCCTAAGCTCCACTAGGCTCTGAACCCCGAGATTCTATTAAACTCTAAACTCTAGACAACTGTAGACTGTAGACATGACCGGTACCCTGACCGCTTAAAGACCGCACCCTCCACCGCCTTACCTCCTGGACACTCAAGCCTGCCTTTTTCAGCCCCCAACCCCCGAAGTGCTAAAATTGCAGCCAGAGACGGCTCCGAAGAGGGGCTGTGTCAGGTGACTTGCTTATCTTCATTTCTACGCCTAGAGACGCTGTAAACCCCAAACCGGCTACTGTTCCTGAAAGGGAGCCTTTATCTCGCCTTATAAACCTGATCAAGGGCAAGGCAGAGGACCCTCAAAACCTCAACCCCACAGGCCCTGCCCTAAACTTCAAGTCCTAGAACCCATAAAGCCTGCAAGCCCCAAAGCCTTAAGCCCGACAATCAGAAACCCCATATGCCCCAAACCTTAAGGCGTAAAACCATAAACGCTAACAGCCCCAGAACCCTACGCCAAAGGACCCTCATCGAGCTCTGGCCCCGCATCTTGGCCAACTTCGATGCCCGGTTTCTGCTTTGCCCTGCGGCGGCCCTCCAAGCACAGCTGCTTCAGCTGGAGGACTTCTTGGGTTTAGGGTTGAGGGATTCCTTGGATTTAGGTGCTTGGTCGGATTTTTTCTCCTATGTGAAGTCAGGGTTTCAGTGCCTTTGATATATCTCTTTTTGGACCGATGCTGTAAGGGCCCGGAAAGGCTTAAGGGCGTTTGGGTTCCGGGGCTTCGGGTTTAGGGATAAGGAGCTTTGGGTTTAGAGTACTTCGGGGCAGCTTGACCCTAAACCCGAAACCCGAAACGCATTTACCCTAAACCCCTAACCCTAAACCCTAAACCATTTACCCTAAACTCATTGAAGCTTCAGGAGAGAGCATTCCTGGAGAAGCCGGAGGTGGTCATGGACCAGCTAGTGAGCTACAGAGTGGTGATGGGAGCATGTTCTTTTTGGGGAGTGCGGAAGGGCTTAGCGTTTTGGGACGTAGGGTCGTAGGTTTTTTTTCAAAAGTTCAGGGCTTCCAGGCTTTTTGGGAAGCCTAAACCTTAAAAGTGGGTCGTAAATCCTAAATCCTAAGCCAAAAACCTAGGTCCTAAATCCTAAACCCCAAACCCTCAAACCCAGGTTCTAAATCCTCAACGCCCGTTGGAGCCCAAAGCCACGGCACGGACACTTTGGAAGTCCAGGAAGCCTAAAGACCAAAACGCCTAAAGCTCTGCACCTAGATCCTTCGGCCCTCATGGAGCAGTCGCAGATCCCTGAAGGAAAAGGGCCATGCCCGAATTCCGAAGACGGAACCCAAGCAACCGAGGCTATTCGCAAAACCTTCAGCATGCCTTCATGCACAGTGGAGTCGATCCGAAGGACCCCAGAGATGTTACGGTTGATGATATAAATCCTGCATTACCCATATGGAATATACCATAATTCCCAAAGTTTAGGGTCCTTAAGGTAATGCAGGATTTTTATCATCAACAGTATTTTGGGATGTCGGGTGTGAGAGCGTCAGAGCCATTCGGACTCCAGTCTTGGTTCAGGTGTTTTTTCGGGGTTGTCGGGATTTAAGGTAGGGCTTTCAGGTATCCAGGTGTTAAGATTTCAGGGCTTACGTCTTAGGGCTTCAGACACCTAGGGCGGATCTCGGAGTGTCGGAGGAGTTTTGCAGGCTTTACTTTGCAGATGCTGCCCGCATGCTCCATCCTTCCAATCCTACACAAGTGCGTTTGGCTACCTACAGCATTGTCCAATAAGTGCACCCTAATTAAACCCTAAACCCTAAACCCTAAACCCTAAACCCTAAACCCTAAACCCTAAACCCTAAACCTAACCCCATAGACCCTAAACCTAACCGCAGAAGCCCCAAACTCCTCAGGATCTTATTCTCGATTGAAACAACAGGAACCGCTTTCGCATATAACAGCGCTATGCAGCAATAAACCCTAAACCCTAAACCCCAAAGCCCAAACCCCAAACCCTAAACCCCAAACCCTAAACCCCAACGCCCAAACCCTAAACCCCAAAGCCCAAACCCCAAACCCTAAACCCCAACGCCCAAACCCTAAAC